GGAGAAACATTTCCCATCATTGAAGGGGTTTGGAAGAAAACGGGCACAGCTTCCAAAGCTTTGCAGCCCCACCCCCTGGGTCCTTTGTCCTTGGAGTCAGGCCAGTTCTCAGGGCTGCCCACCTCTCAAAAGAGGGGAGGCGCTCAAAGCAGAATTTCCCTGCCCCAGCCTGCCTCTCCAGCTGCCCCCCTGTGCTAGCTGGCCTCTCAATATTTCTGCCCAAACCCATTTCGTTGCCAAGGCACCGGCTTGGTGCCAAGGGCTTCCCCCACCATAGCTTCAAGTCGTGAGAGTTCAGGGTTGAGTGAAGCAGGGAGCAAGTCTCCAGCTTAGGGTTTTATAGCATCCTGTTTGAGCTGGCTTCGCGGCAGCGTTCCCATGGCCTTTAAAAGCCTATAATCACCTCTGGTGCATTACATCAGATTCCTGTAGGCCTTACAAGATTGGATTACAGCTGCTCCGTTTGAGTATGGAGTGAGTTTCTCATTCACACCTCACCTGGGTTTAACTGCCCAGGTGAGGATGGTCGGCACAGCCATTTTGTCATTTATTCTCCGGGGAGAGTAACACCTTTGGGGAAATGGGGTCCATTTGGACTGCAGATTGAGAGCTATCGGGGAGCCCTGTGAACCAGGACAGTGGCCTGGGCTCACTCACCCTCACACGGATTACATTAGAACGACTTGAGTGGAGCTTAGCTTCCACAATGAGGCCCTGCATGCCTGTTCAGGAACCTCGGCCTTCGGCCTTCGGTAGCAGCATCCCAGGGAGAACTCTGAGCTCCTCAAACTCACTGCCATGAGGCCCGTCTGACTCGCAGTGATAGACAAATGACCTATCCAGATGGTCCCGGGGTGAGCTGAACACTAGTAATTTCCCCTCCCTCTCAATCAGTTGTTCTTTTTCAGGCCTCCCCTGGCTACAAGGTGATACAGTGACTTAAGCATCGGGCTGCAAAACCCAAGCATGGTGGGTTTGAAGGCACCTGCTTCTTTTGCAGGAGAAAGATGAGACCATCGCAGGCATCTGCTCCTGTAAGGACTGACAGCCGTGGACCCCTGTCCTACAGGGTAGCTCAGAGTCTGACGGGGGGTCAGTGGAAGTGGGCGTGGATCTTTTGGGGGGGGGTTCCTGCTCACAGGCCTCAGGATTCTCATGCAAGCAACCGAATAGTTCTTCTGGCTTGATTCGTCACCGCCCATCTCCTGGGACACCAAGGGGTCACACGTGAGATGCAAATTAACCCAGGAAAAGAATTCTGACCCCGTTATGTCCTGGGATCCAAATTAAAAGTGAGTGTCTCAACAGTGCCAATTTGGATCTAAACATGAGGCAACGCCAGGAAGCTTCTGAGTGGACCTTCCAAGTGTAGTCCCAGAGACTAGCGCAGTCCCATTTGGCTCGACACTCTCTCCAGCTGGAAGGAGCAGAGCAGTAGGAAACAGCATTCTGACCACATGGTGTGAACTCAGCCAATGGCTCATGACCAGCAGTCTCAGCCTGCCCCATCCAAGTCATAAATATGTAAACACCCAAGGGTGGAGTATTTTCAAGACCCCAGCCTAGAAACCGTGTAGGATCTGACAGTCTGTTTTGTAAGGATAACATGACAGGGAGTCTCATGGGAAATGTGGAGGAGACTTTATTTTCAATGACAACTCTCATAAAAGCTTTTCTCTGGGCGCATCTGGACCCCCCCCCCCCTCACCAATCCCTTGTGTTTGCTTGAGCCTGGCCTGTAGAGAGCCTAGCAGAATGGCCTGGAGGAGACGGGGAAGAAAGGCTGTCAATGCTGGGGTGACAGGCCAACAGACGTGTGCTCCAGAGCCCTCTTTACATCCTACGGAACACTGGGAACTCAGCCCAAACCTGGGGTGGATAAACTACCTTCGGGGCACGTTCAGTAACAAGCGGCGGCCAACACAGACGGATCATTTCTACTGCATCAACTGCTTTGTGAAAGTCACAAACCAGAACAGACCTTAGGAGAAATCTAGAGACGAGGAGGAGTCCCTCCACGTACCCGGTGGGAAGGGAGCCGGAAGATGGAAAAATCTACATGCACAGAATGAGGTACCTAACAGGTCCAAGTGTTCCAAATAATAATAATTGTCTCCTTGACAGTTTGAACCTGTTTTGAGAGCCCAGCTAAACCTTGCTTTCTCCCTTAAACTTAAGCCACTATACCCAGCCACTGCATTGATTATTCAGGTTACCGTCAAAGCCAACAAATGCCCTTCGTTTCCCTTGGCCGAGTAGGAGGAATCTCTAGGTGTCCGCAGCGTTTCACCTGTTAACGTAGAGACCAACTCTTCAGTCAGCGAGAAGAACAACTTTCACATCCCCAGGGGGGACATCTCCAAAGTCCATGGCTGAACGAAAACAGGAGGCACAAAAACGCCAGTCGGTGACAAAGACGCGGATGTGAGATGGAGATTGCCCTCCCTGTCAAAGCCCGAGGGGCTCCAGTCAGTTCTCTGCCATCTAAACCAGAGGTCAGCAAACTTTTGAGACGAAAGAGCTGAACCTGACCCCTCACCATCATTTAAAGAGTATGCGAGAGCCACGAATACCGTTTTACACACGTGAAATCACCGTTCTCTGAAGAATATCCTTTAAAAACTTTCCATTGTACTTCAGACCCACAGACGGCCCCTGCTCCGGAACCTTCTCAAGCCTATCCACTCCTCCCTGTGCCTGATTTATGTCAAAATGCTGAGGCAGCTCCACATGGGAAACTACCCGGCTTCCTCCGCAGCTGGGACCAAGCTAAGTCTCAGATCCTTTGTGAGGGTGGGATACTTTGAAACTCCCAAGAGAACACTATCCACCAAGCATCTCTTTTCAAGCTAAGGGTCAAACCAAAAAGCTATTAAATCAAAAGCCTTCTGATAACCACTGGGTACTTGGAACGCAGACCCCCAAAGGCCCTCTTCTGCCCCAGCTCATAAAGATTAATATCCTGATTGTAGCAAGTAGCCAGTGATCCGGACCTTTAACCCCTGAGCTACACTCCCTCAGCTTCCCACTCCAGGGCAGAGCTGGATGGGACCCAGAGGCCAAAACTTCCGGTCAGGGAAAACTTGAGGCCTGAATTCCCCAAGAGGGACCCTCCCAAAGGGCAGAAGGGCCAGGGTTGGGGAGGGAGAACAGGCTGCCATCCGAGGCTTCCCAAGAGTCCCAAGAGGAGCACATGCAGGCAAACTGACCATGATCCCAGTAGAGCTGGGGCCGACAGAAACCGCCCCAGCAGAAATGTGCGAGACAACAGGGAGGGTTCCCAGAAAGAAACGGAAGGTTGCCAACCCCTTTAACCTTGTCCCCTGGCTGGCTCTCCTACCCTTGGCAGAGACCCTGGCCTTAGAGGCGAACGTTGTCGAGCTTTTCTGTTTGGGAGCCCCGTCGACAATCTGCCGACACAGACAAAACAGGCAGTGATTCAGTCACCATGCGCAACTAGTTTGGGGGGTTAGAGCCGGCCTCCGGGGCTGTGTCAGGCAGGAGAAAGCATCCGGAAGCGAAGCCCCTGGGAAGCGAAGCCTTTGCTTCCAGGATGCCCGCACAGCGAGCTAGGGTCTAGCACGCGCCCGCCTCACTAGATGGGGGCGCTACTGAGCAGCTGCTAGAACGTCACCAGCTGGGGATGATCAGGGGACAACACTGTCCAATTTCAGGGCCCTTTGCTGACATCAGGGCATTCTTCCCACTGCAGTCTCTCCGTTCCATTCCCGCCTCACCGCCCCCCACCCCACCCCGCCCAATCCCACGCTTCCCATCCACCCCACCCTGCCCAATCCCACGCTTCCCATCCACCCCACCCTGCCCAATCCCACGCTTCCCATCCACCCGCCCCGCCCCCCGAGTCTGCAAACGCCCTCTTCTTAGCAAAAGTTTCTAGACGCCAGGGAGTATCTTCACCCAAAGTAACCTTCCACCAAATTGGAGGGATGAAAATGAACGTGCCCCTAGCAGGGTCCAGGCGACACCCTGCCCCTAAATCCCGCAATCACAGACTTATTTGTTTTTGTTTAATTTTTTTTAAACGGTCTCCTCCAGGAAATGGAATATTTGAGCGCCCAAGAGAGTTTTAGCAGTTGGGTAAATGGCCCAAGATGCACAGAGATGCTAAATGCTTAAGATGGGTGTCAGATGCCAGGAGGGGACACAATTTCAGTGCTTGTCATCGTGCTGTTTCCCTGCATTCGCGTGTGGGTGGAAGCTTGTGGGAGAGGGGGAGGGGGTGCTGCCAATATCTGTATCTGGATAGTATTCCGGCCCAGGGCCGATGCGGCTGAGACAAGCCCAGCGAAAGAGCAGACTTTCTCAAAAGGGGGTGGGGCGCCCGCAGCGTCCCCTTTAAGGGACAGATCTACACTGCCAAGCTGCCAGACTTCAGTCCAGGAGACTGAGCACGGGCTCAACTGGGCACTGGGCACCGGCTGGTCAGCTCGGCCACCAGGGTTTGGCCACTAGCCCGGAGCCGGCCAAACCCCAAACCATCCGGCGCCTGCGATGCCGCGGCGCTCCACCTGCCGGCACCCTGGGCGTCCAGATCTGCTGCGGGCTGCAGGGCCGGGCGCTCAGTGGCAGGACCGTCAGCGTGGCCCAGGCAAGCCTCCAAGGACCTGCACGCCTACCGCCGGACCTGTCCCTGCAGGGGTCTAGCCTGAGGTCCACAGGAAGCCCCTGAGCCCCCAGCTAACGCCCGGGCGAGAACTTCCGAGGGCTCACAATTTGCCCCTCGCGGCACGGCCCAGCTCCCACTGTGGAGCTTTCTCCGCTGGAGGTCGGGGTGGGTGCTGGGCGCCAGGTGCCCCTCTCACCTCCAGCAGGTGAGCCGCCCCGCCCGCGGCGCCCAGGTGGTCCCCTAAGACACCGCGCCCCACCGGTCTGGCCTGCGGCCACCCCTCTTCCCACCGGCTGGACAAGGGCAACCGGCTCTGTCCCCCCACATCCCGCAGTGTCACCCTCCCGGGTCCCGGGTCCCGGCGGCGCCTCACCTTTGTAGCGCTCCATCGGGCCGCGGCGAGCGCTGCTCCGCTCGGGCTCGGCTGCGCTCCCGCCGGGCTCCGCGCCCAGTCTGCCGCGCTGGCCCCTCCCCGTGAGGTCACGCTCGCGGCCGGACCTCCCGCTGCGGCCGCCCGGGCCTTGGACCCCGGCCCCGCCCCGCGAGGAACTCCGCGCCCGGCCTGGCGGCGCTGCCCTGCGCGCCCTGGCCGCGACGTCCGCCTGCCCGGGTCCCCGGGCGGCGGGGAGCGAGCCGGAGACGTTCCCCAATCCCGGGCGGCTTCCGCGCAGAGGAGAGGCTGGGTGGGCCTCTCGGAGCTCTTGGTCCGCTGCGGGAGCTGCGGACCCACCGTGCCCACCCAGCTGGCTCCGGGATCGCTCCCGCCTCCTGCACCTACCTCTCTGGTCAGCTGCTGTCAATCTCAAGTGTGAACGTGGGTGGCCATTTCAACCGGCCCTCCACCCGCGCCCTGCTTCTTCTGCACGCGGCGCCCGGGCCCTCCTGGAGGGCTGCTATCTGTGCCACCTGCCCCTCCACATGGGCCCAGGGCTCTCCATTGTCCCCCTTCCCGTACGGACGCATGGACCCGTGCTTAAAATGGGGTCTTTACTCTAAAAGCTCAAACGTGGCTTAAATGGGGTTCCTGATTTCTTCATGTCTCTCCAACTTCCTTGAAGGAACTTTTCAGGGAGGAGGGGGGCGGCAGCTTGTTGTTTTCTAAAAGACTTCAGCATGCTTCCTAGGAGCAGATTTATCTCTAGTGCCCTCCCCATTCCCCGCAGGCTCAGAAGTCACTTTTTTAGTCCTAAGAACAGTTAACTAGGACAGAGGCGCCTCTGCCCCCGGCCCCGGCCCCGCCGGCCTCCTGGGGGAAGACTGGCAAGCGGTGCAGTTCTGTTTTCGCACTAGCTCGTGCTTAGGGTCTGACCGGGGGTTCAACAAAATCACCCTGCTAGTAAAAAGAGGAGCAGACCCTAGAAAGGGGTCTATCTCCTCCAAAAGGATTGGCATAGGAGAGCCGGGTTGCACAGGTGAACAACACAGGGAACAGGCACACAGCCAGGTGTGCCCAGTAAGGCAAAGCATGAAGGATTCTGGGAAACCCTGAGGAGAGGCACTGAACTAGTATGGAAAAGCCTTGGAAGTCTCCTCAGAAATGATGGTGGCAAGACCCTGTAAAGCGTCCATTTTAGAAACCTAGAGGGGCAGCTCTACCCTGTTCTATAGGGTCACTATGAGTCAGCATGGCCTTGTGAATGTGCGCTATATTCCATTTCAAAGGAGGAGGAGCCAGGAGAGATAGAGTGGGTGGAGGAGGAGCCAGGAGAGGTAGAGTCGGTGGGCGCAAAGGCAGGGCTGTTCATCGGTTCAGTGTTGATGGAGAGGCTGGAGAGGGGTCGGCGAGCATTCAGGGGGGTGGGTACACCAGGAAGCAGAGGAGAGGGAGTACCACAGGAGGCCTTTGCCCCAGCTAGATGAGAGGTCAACTGGGCAGGAGTAACTGGGACACAGGAGGCAAGGACTGTGACACAACTATTCAGGAAGTTCCTTGACAAGGGTCACTGGCTGGGCCTAGGGCGTGAAGAAGGGGCAGGATGGGGATGACTTCGCAGTTTCTGATAAGTTGGGTGATTGGGTGGACAGTGCCACGTCCCTGCAGGCAATCCATCCTCGGTATTTCCTGAAGCCCTGCTAGGGGCCAGGTGTTATGTGCAGGCGGCAGTCAGGCAGGGTGGCAGACAGGGTCCCACCTGCCCGGGGCTCCTGGAGGTGCGTGGGGACAAGCAACAGGCAGGAAAAGACGACCACCCTTGAGGCACAGACAGGCAAGTGGGCACAGGCTGGGGAGCTGGAGAGAGACAGTAGTACAGCCCAGCTCTTTTTGATCAGTAGCCTTTCCCTGTCATTCCACAATCACAACCACGCCCCCGGGAGGCGGGGCCTGTGAGGGTTGAAAAGCAGAAACTGGATCTACCAACTTGGGGAAGAAAAAGTGGAGGTTGTGGCAAGAATCACACAGGTCGGCTTGAGCTGGATATTGAAGATTCAAATCCACCCATCATGGAGGAAAGAACTAGTGACCCACTTCCATCCAGTCCAAAAGACCGCCCCCCCCCCCAAGCCCACTGCCATCAAGTCAGTTGGCTGGCGGGTTTGAACCACTGACCTTGCCGTTAGCAGCCCAATGCTTACCCTATGGGGACACCGGGCTCTGTGCCAAGAAAAGGCTACCGGGCCCAATTCTAGTCTGTAACACACCAAGTCTCCATGAGCCAGTATCAAAAGGGTTGGGTGCTTGGGGCCCCAAGGACCAAAAGTAGCCTTTATGCATGCCAGACTGGAAAATAGAAGGGTGGAAGGGCACGCACTGTGTGCTTTCAGCCTTCTCTTCCTGCCTCCTTCCCAGTCTTCCTCTTGCAGATGTCCCAGCACTGCCCCGTCCCCAATTCTCTGCTATGACCCCCTGTGTCTGCAGACAACCCCCAGGGGGCTGTCCAGTCTCACAAAGGATCCAATTGTTCTGTTCCCTGTTTTAGAACAAGCTTCAGGTCTCTGCTCACGGGTCACTCTGGACTATCCCAGCCCTGCCGTCCAGCTCAACCAGCAGGGTGAGAGGGCACAGTGCAGGGGCTTCACTCTGCAGGGGCGCGTCTCCAGAGAAGTGACATGCCCAGAGTGAAGACATCTCTCTCAGGAGGACTCAAAGACCAGGGTTTCTGACCCCAAATACCATCTGTGCTTGATCAGCTCAGCCTTTCCCACGCCTCGGTCTGGCCACCGCTTTCCCCAGAAAATCCTCAGGTAGCTGGCTCAAAGCTCTTCCCAGAACCGCAGCCACTCCCTGCAGGCTGGGGCAGTGCTCCATCTCAGTCCTGCCTGCTCCCTTCCCCCTCTGGCTCCAACCCTTTGAATGACCTCTTTCCTAAAGCCTCTCTAGCTTATGTCGGAGCCTTGGCAGATCCCAGTGTCTTAAGGCAAACACAAATCTATCACCCGAGTATGCAGAGTGAATTTGAAACACCGCGCTGTCCTTGCTAAGACTGCAGCCCAAGCTGCCTGTACTACTCAGAAGCACCACAGGAACCTTAGGCTTCACAGAGCTCTGCCCCACAGTTGGTTCAGGGTCTCCCAGAGCTGCCTGTTTGAAGCCCTGGTCTTTCATTGCTTTGCAACTTCCACAGCAAGGTGGGAATTCAGATCCACCAGGTCTCCGGCCGTGGGGATGGCATGGTCAGCTTCCTGGTTCTTTCTCTACTCTCAGAGTGCTCTGTAGAGCCGGCCCCAGATCCTGAGGATCAGAAATGCCACTGCAGACCCTCTTGAAATCACACTCAGCAATCCACCTCCCCCGCCCCCAAGCAAGCCGATGGGGAGCCGGGTGAGTGAGTGTTTCCCAAGGAGCACCGCTAAGGAGGAGGGCTCTGGTGTTCCCTTGGGATGCTGTAGGTGATGGAGGGAGGCGGGCACCTGAAGGGCCTGATTTCTACAGATTCTTAAAGCAATTCTCAGCAGCCGAGGCAATGTGAACGGGATGCCAGGAGAAGGCAGTTTCTTAGCAAACGGCACCTGTTAATCATTGGACAATCCCAGCTGCTGCTGTGAGCCACTGAGTTACTACCATGAATAGTGACCTGACACACAGCACCAGCCATGCCAACGCATTTCCTGAGGTTGCCCCTTTTGGTCAGCAACCAGCCGTGTGTGTCGGCGGAGGCTTGCGTGGGGTATGATGCTGAATGGAGTCTAGCAGAGCTTCCAGACTAAGAAGGACGAGGAAGAAAGACCTGGTAAGCTTCCTCCAAAAAGTCGGCCTAGGAAATAAATCCTTATAGATCACACCAGTTCCACCGTTGGGACCTACCACGGGGACAGTGTGGGACCAGGTAGAGTGCCATTTCATTGTACATACAGTCGCCATGAGCTGGGGTTCACACTGTAGTCATTATCAAGGACAGCATCCATCCCACGTTCAAAGCCACTTCCTCAGAGAAGCTCCCCTCCCTTCCACCTCTCCCCCTGCCCCAGTCCTATCCTCCACCCCTACTGAGAGTTAGTCCCACCTCTGGTTCTCCCTCACCCGAAAGCCCTCTTATGTCATCTTATGTGAACTCTGTGCCCCCACTGTTTTATCTAGCACAAAGTAGGTGCTCAATAGCACCTGCTGGATGAATAAATGGATGTTCCATTCCTGGCCCCTCTTGGGGTTTTGTGCAGAGGAAAACCCACATCAATGGCTTTGCTGGTTCCAATACTCAACCTAGAGAGAACAGAGTGGGAGGAAGCACAGGAAGCCTTCATGGAGAAGGCGGCGTTTGAACCCAGCTGTCGAAAGGGTGAATGAACTCGTCAGGGCCAGCCTTGCCCTGTGATGGTGTAGCCTGGTCCAGTGCCTGTGGGGCGCACACACAGCTCTTGCCTCACCCTGAGAGGGAGGTGCCTGTGATAAGGCCCCTTGGCTTTGTAGGGAGGCTTCTTCCTCCCCTGGGTGTTCCAACCAGGGCCTTAAACTGACCCTACTGAGAAGTCACTGCCTTTCACCTCCCAGGGACAGAATCAGAATCTACCTTTTAACAAGATTTCCAGGTGACTGATTTTCTATTGCTGTTGTTCCAGGTACTTTAACGTCTGTTGCAACATAGCACGCCAGGAGGTAACACTGCCCAGACCTGCGGCACCTCACAATTGTGATGTTGGAGTGCAGCGTGGCAGCCACAACCCAATCCATCACATTGAGGTTCTACCTCTTTCTCGCTGACTTTTCATGTCCCTGCTCAGGCACCGGTCTCTCCTGTTAACAGGTCCAAAGTAGGTGAGGCCGAGTCTCCCCGTTCTCCCTTCGAAGGAGCATTCTGATGACTTCTTCTAAGACACAGATGTGTTTGTTCTTCTGGCGGTGAGCGGTACTCTCAGCACTGTTAGTCCAGGTAGACTAGAGAAACCCAGAGGAACATGCACATGTGTATGAGAAAGAGCTTTATCAGCGACGAAACATACAACTTTCCTCTAGTCCCCCCCCTCCCCACTATCATGATCCCAATTCTACCTTACAAATC